TATATATATATACTGTATATATATATATATATATATATATATTCTTCAGAAGTTCATAGGCATGTATGTTGAATATGTATGTTGTTTAATAGCCTTCTGTGGTGAAAATGACAGTGATGGAAATTACTAGGAGTGCATCGATACCACTTTTTTTCAGAACAAGTGCGATACCTATACTTTCATTTTTGGTACTCGCCGATACCGATACCTGTATTTTCACAGCATTTGTAATTTTTTTTAAATATTGTGTACAGAAACAAAATAATAGGTTTGAGCATTTTTTGCCCTGTTTACAACGGACTGGTGTCTGAAACTTTATTTCATTATAGCAATAAATTCCAGAACATTCTAAATGTTTCCAAAAGTAAATATTTTGGGGCTCCCATGATGTTGGCTCATTTCCAAGCCCTATAATTGCTGGATGCAGTGAGCAATTGCTGAGTGAAGGGAAAAGCACCTCTTTTCCTGCATTAATTCCCGCTAATGCAATAAACTGCATTAACACTTTGCATCTACACAAACAGCACACTTTATATTCAAGCCCAAAGTTCCTCAGTTAAAACTGTTAAAAAAAGTTATTATGGAAGCTACTTTGAACGCTGCAGCTTGCCAGGCTACAAGCTAAGGGTGTTTGCTGTTAAAACCAAGAGCACTTTTTGCCCTCGGGCTTTTAACTTAAAAAACAATTTTAACACTCTCACTAGTTTATTTATTGGTCCGAGGGCTGCCATATATATATATATATATATATATATATATATATATATAACAAAAAAAACTATTATATTATCTTACATTATGCACTATTTTCCAAAATCTGACTGGGGTCAATAAGATTTTTAAATATTTTTGGAAAAGTTTCACATGCTCAACAAGGGTGCATTTATGTGATCAAAAATACAGTAAAAGCTGTAAAATTGTGAAATATTGCTTGAATTTAAAATAACTGTTTACTATTTTAATAATAATAATATGAATCATGTTAGTTGGCTTCATTTAGCAAACATATATTACCTTCAGTTATTGCCACACTTAATTATACCTGTTAAAATGTATTGTATAAGCTTTTGTTACTTTCACTGTTCATTTTAATGGCGCATTAGAGCTGCTCCATTGCAGCAGCTCAGTACTGTAATCACAAAGCGTTTTCCTAAAATAATGCAGGGAACCACTCGTTATACATTATACGAGTGCACGCGTACTATTTTGGTGATGTAATTTGCGTCACGCATAGTGTAAACGGACCCTCACGTACGAGTAAAGCAAGCTAAACATACGCCGCGCACACGTTTGTATTGGTGCAGAATGAGAGAGACACTTACAGCCTAGCGCATTTCACCCAGTCTGCTAGTTTCACTTCTGCTTTACATAAAGTTGTGTATGCTTGACGTTTAAAATAAATGCTGCTTATAGTGAATGCCCCTATAATTTTTGTTTGTTTTATATTTACGATTTAGTTTTAATCCAAATGCATGCGCTAATGGAGCGAACAGCAATCAAGATCATGCAACAGAAGTGCGCACTCTCAGACTCTCTCGCTCTCCTTACCGTCAAATAACTTTAGTAACTTGTGCATTGTTTTACTTCCTTGCTTTTGACATATCCGACCGAACTACAAACTTTCCAGTGATGTCTGTGAGAAAGATATATTCACTCCACAAGCTCGCGCATCTGTGCAGCCGTATGCTCAATCCACTCAGCACGCTCTGCTTATCAGCTCGGGCACAGCCGCAATACAGCCGTGGATATTGAATGTTTAACATTATATTAATTACTTACATGTACTTCATAGACATCCTTAATCTCTAATAACTCCATTCTACTCTCTGTTGTTCTGTTTTCAGTGTTTCTTTTTCTGGACACAGCTCTATTCACACACTTTTTGGTATCGGGGCATTTTTACGAGTACGAGTACAGGAGCGCAGTATCGGACCCGATACCGATACCAGTATATTTTCACACTGTTTGCATGCACTTTTATAACATTACATCTTGATTGGAAATCAAAAATACTGTGTGCGAGTGATATTTACATAGATTTTTAGTTGATTTCTATACACGTGTCTCATACTGTATTTCATATCTAGTGTGCTCTTAAAAAAAATCTTTAGAAAAGTGGATAATGTCCTAGCAGAAAATTACCAGTACTTTTCCTTCAACCCAAAAAAAGCTACACAATGCAATGCGTCATTCAAAATATGGGTAAAACGCATGTAAAACAATGTTTGCAATGTTTGCTTATTTTTGGAAATAATTTGGTCATTAAAAAATTCTAAACTCTTTTATTATGTTTGTTCATATTTTAAGGAACAATCATGAAACACCTTTATCTCCCTTAAACAAGACATTTACTTGCAAAATGTACAAAAAAAAATAAAAATCTGTCATTATTTACTGATTTTTGCATTGTTCCAAACCAGTTCCGAAAATATATGTCTGAAGATCCTCCAAAAATCTTCACGGAAAACCATGAGGGTGAGTAAATAATGACAGAATTTTTATTTTTGGGGGAACTATTTCTTCGCTTCAGGGGATTATGCTTGTAATAAGCCTCTTTGTGTAAGAAATCTAAATAAAGAATAAAAAAGTAGTAGAGATACAGCGTAACTGGAGATATTTCCTGTGTTCCTCCCCATTCTCTCCATTACCCTCATTCCGCTTGCTTTTACAGAACACTCTCAATCCAACTATAGCTGAAAGCACTCAGGCTGCGCTCTGTTGTGGTTTTCTGTTTACTGAGCTGGAAATTGGTGGGTTTTCTTTTTTCAGCAGTACACTGGGAAGCCACAAATGTTTTTTTATGGAGAGAGGTTGAACACATTAAGCGTGTTGCTGTGTGTGTGTGTGTGTGTGTGTGTGTGTGTGTGTTTGCTCAACTCATTTGCTCTGAAATGTAATGACTGTATTTATGTGCACTTCCATATCTCATATCATCTGTGGATATTGACATGAACTGTGATGGATGCTGTACTTCTGATCTGTGTTCAGAGTAAAACACTGCATTACATGTTGAATTTTGTGAGTGACCTGCCAGTTATCACCTAGGAAATAAGTACAGTTGTTTTTCAGATTAATTTTGTATCATAATTTCATGTACTGAATTATGTGTTACTTTAATGACTTTCTGGTTTGTGATTCTTCTTCTGCAGCCATAAAAACGGTGATCGAAGTGCCGATGGGTAGCAGAGGCCTCAGAATCACGGCCAAGGGACCAGACATGATTGGTGAGATTATTCATATTAATTGTAAATATAGATATATGGTGTCTTGTAGCTTCTGTATGGAGATAGAATTGTTGCATAATTCCAAATAAACCGATTATGGTCCACAAATAAATGTAAAGAGATTAAGAAAAATTAAACATATTGACAAATAGTACGAGATTCACAAATAAATATTAGAGTTTCACAAACATGAATTTTATTCACAAATAAATAAAATGAGATTTGCAAATAACAAATTTCATATTCACAAAATATTTTATGTCACAAACACAACTTTGCCTGGCATTCATTTGTGAATCACGTCCTGTGCATTTGTAGATCACTGTACACATTTGTGGATCGCTCGCTGTGCATTTGTGAATGGCTTTCTGTGCATTTGTAGACCGCTGCATGCATTTGTGGATTTTGAAACATTTCTAGCATCAAGATGCTGACAAATCCACAAACGAGTGGACTCCACCCTCCGTCTACTCGAGCCAATCAGCCACACTTCGCTGACCAATCGTAGCACATTCTCACCATAACCAATCACGTTTTGCTTTACAATCAGAGCGGTCTCGTCTTGAAATAACTTCATTCATCTGCATTGGCTCAAATAGGGCCATAAAAATTGGTACAGTAAAAGATGTTTAAAATGGGATTTCGTTAGATCATTAGAATGTGCATCAAGCCAAGCCACAGTATTATATTTTACGTGCCTTTGAAAATGCCAGAGAAACAGCGCTATGGGAACAATGCCATACTGGATAAAGACATAGTTATGGAAGCATCTTGTTATTTAAGATGGAAAGAAAAGCATCAATAACTGACTAATAAATAACTGGATTCAAGGATTACCTCATGATAAGCATACAAGTTTGTTTAATAGCCGTCACACAACAGCCAACAGCGTTTCCCAGTTTTTCAGTCAAGCCGTTTAAATGATGTATATGTTATGTGGATCTAACAATGTATACCGCATTATAAATAATATTTTCAAACATTAATTAAAAGTATTACAAAGTTGCCATTGTTTGGGTAGGCACAATATATACGTGGTTATTTTTAAAATGTGGTGCAGGTGTGTTGAATAAAAAAAAATGCATATAAATGTAAGACGAGATATTTATTGGTTAAAACACTTGATCACGCAAACGATATTTCATATCGGAATCAGACTTTGATTGTAAAAGTTACTTAACAGCATCCAAAGTTAATGTGTTTTTTATTTACATCATCCATTCACAAATCCCCAGTACACGCTGCAGTGATGCTGAGGCTGGTACCCAGATGGTCATTTGGGCCCATATTTGATATTATATGTGTTATTATGCCCTATATGTGTCACTGTGATTGTGCTTTAAAAGGCCAAAATTAATAAGCCATTGTGTCATGTTTTATGCCGTGTCTCTGCTCACTGTTCGCGCTGCGCTCCAACAGCTGTAACTGCAACTGGACTCATCAAAGTAAATGTGCGAATCATTTGTTTTTCATCGTGTTGCGCCACGTCCAGTGTAGACAGGATCGCTGATTATAATTATTTATATTTGCTTTGGACGCGTGGCGAGGGTGTTACTGATCATGCTCGGGATCTGTGAGTGATTATCCTCATTCACTGATTCTGATGGAAATATAAAGAAGCCTTTCACTCCAACAATCTTTTAGAAACAGGATTTTTTTTAACCACACAAACAGCACTTCAGCTCAATTTGAACGAATTGTCCGTATTATGCAGTTCCTTACAGGGGTGCAAATGAATCTGCTCCCGGCCTGATTGTAAAGCAAAACGTGATTGGTTATAACGAGAACGTGCTACGATTGGTCTTGACTTGACATGATTGGTCAGCGAAGTGTGGCTGTTATCTGATTGGCTCGAGTAGACGGTGGGTGGAGTCCACGCATTTGTGGATTGTCAGCATCTTGGTGCTAGAAATGTTTCAAAATCCACAAATGCATGCAGCGGTCTACAAATGCACAGAAAGCCATTCACAAATGCAAAGCGAATGATCCACGAATGTGTACAGTGATCTACAAATGCACAGGACGCGATTCACAAATGAATATTTGCTTTGGACGCGTGGCGAGGGTGTTACTGATCATGCTCGGGATCTGTGAGTGATTATCCTCATTCACTGATTCTGATGGAAATATAAAGAAGCCTTTCACTCCAACAATCTTTTAGAAACAGGATTTTTTTTAACCACACAAACAGCACTTCAGCTCAATTTGAACGAATTGTCCGTATTATGCAGTTCCTTACAGGGGTGCAAATGAATCTGCTCCCGGCCTGATTGTAAAGCAAAACGTGATTGGTTATAACGAGAACGTGCTACGATTGGTCTTGACTTGACATGATTGGTCAGCGAAGTGTGGCTGTTATCTGATTGGCTCGAGTAGACGGTGGGTGGAGTCCACGCATTTGTGGATTGTCAGCATCTTGGTGCTAGAAATGTTTCAAAATCCACAAATGCATGCAGCGGTCTACAAATGCACAGAAAGCCATTCACAAATGCAAAGCGAATGATCCACGAATGTGTACAGTGATCTACAAATGCACAGGACGCGATTCACAAATGAATGCCAGGCAAAGTTGTGTTTGTGACATAAAATATTTTGTGAATATGTTTTTTATTTGCAAATCTCATTTTATTTGTTTGTGAATAAAATTCATGTTTGTGAAACTCTGCCATTTAGTTGTGAATCTCATTCTATTTATTTGTCAATGTTTAATTTTTGTTAATCTCTTTACATTTATTTGTGGATCATAATCAATTTTTTTGGAATTATGCAACAAGTCTATCTCCATACTTCTGGGTCTAATCCTTGACTTGACATAACACTCTCATGTATGAAGTCTGCTTTTTCTGTCAGTTAGAAGTCATATAAGACTAGTCAGGAAGGGTTAGGACTGAAAAGGATTTTCTTTGGAGAATCAGCATTATCAATATGAATTAATCCAGCTTTCTGCCACAGGACCGAGGCCTTAGTGTGCAGTTATAATATTGTGTCACAGGATTTTGAGAATTAGTGAGACGACATATTCAGCTGTCAAAGAGTTTTCCACACTCTCTAGTTTTTGTCCCAGAAAGATTTTAGTTTCACAGTCTGAAAGTTAACACTAATGGGGACGATTCATTTGAATGACAACTCCTGGTTTTATTTTATTTAATTTTATTTCATCCTAAAAGCAACTGAAATACAATAAGATATTGTATTTGGCATAAAGAAAGTGAAACTTATTTATGCATTTATTAGTTTATTTACACAGCGATTAAAAGAAGTAGGCTTATATGCAAATGTATGCAAATATAATACTTTTTTATGCATTTTGGGGTAAAATATAAATAAAATATGTTTTTGAACGGCTTTGTGAGATTCATCCACATTTGAGTATAATATTTGATTATGTAGGATTTCTTTGTAAATAATCTTGCAAACTATATAGAAAATCATTTTGATTATATACTGTAGGATAACTTTAATTTATATTAACTTTATATTTAGCATTCAATTAGGAATCTAGGAATATACTATACTGGATTATATAGGACTTCATTATAAATAATCTTGCAAATTATATAGAAAATTATCTTGATTATATAGGCTAACTTTAATTTATATTAACTTCGGCTTTGTGAGATTCATCCACATTTGAGTATAATATTTGATTATGTAGGATTTCTTTGTAAATAATCTTGCAAACTATATAGAAAATCATTTTGATTATATACTGTAGGATAACTTTAATTTATATTAACTTTAAGCTCTATTTAGCATAAGGTTTTTTTTTTGTTTTTTTTTTTAATATTTATTTATTTTGTGGTGAAATATCACCCAAATGTGTTTTTGAAAGGCTTTGTGAAATTTAGCCACATTTGAGTATAATTTTAATTTCTGTATATATGACTTCATTATAAATAATCTTGCAATTTATATTGAAAATGACCTTGATTAAATAGGGTAACTTTAATGTATATTAACTTAATTAATAAAGTTATATTTAGCATAAAGAAAGTAAAAAAAAAACTTTTTTTTTAATATTTAATATTTCAATATTATTTTCATGGCAATTAAAGGACTAGGCTCAATATTCTAGGACTAGAATATACTGTATTTGATTATATAGGCCATGGAATCATGGAAATTTATAGGAAATTTTTCTTGATTATATGGAATAACTTTCACTGCATATTTACTAGGGGTGGGAATCACCAGAGGCTTCATGATACGATATTATCACGAGACTTGTGCCACCATACAATATTATTGCGATTTTAAATATATTGCGATATTCTGCGATGTATTGCAATTTATTACCTTTTTCCAACTTCAAATTATGTCCCCAAAGGAAAGCTTTGACAACATCTGTTTTAACTAAAAAGAAACATTTCTCAGTTTGTCAAGATTTTATTATTCTACCAAATAGTATAATAAAAAATCGATACTTGGCGTCCGTGTATCGATACAGTATTGCCGCGGAAAATATCGCGATACTATGCTGTATCGATTTTTTCCCCCACCCCTAATATTTACACAAAATCAAACTTTCAATGAAAATCTGTCCTCTCACACTGTCATTTCAGTTACCTTGAGTATTTTTCCCTTTTTTTTTTCTTCCTAACATTTATGAATTTTAATCAATCTGTAACATCTTTGCTCCTTTCAGGAAGTTGTCTCAGGCAATCAGAAGCGTCTACGATTGACTTGCCAAAGAGCTCTTCCAACATCTGCAATATAGTCTGAACTTTACAATACTTCCACAGTGACACAGCCAAACTGTATTTGACACGGTTGCCTGGTATAATAGCACAGTGTGGGAATGCATATGGATTTTATATCTATATCTAGCCTGAAAGACCAAAAAAGAGAGATTTCCTATTACCTGAGTGGGACTGGCAAAAGAGGTTTGAGGGAACTTTGGGATAGAGCAGAAGAATGAAGTGTTCATGCAGGCTAATTTGTGGTGGCTGAGAGCCCGGTACGATGGAGACAGGGCCAGTAATCTAGCAGACTTCCATAACGGACACACAGAGTATGTCGAAGTCCAATCCCAGTGATCCGTTCCACATCCGACGGACCCACACTCACACGTACACACTTCCGTTCTGTGAAAAACCACTATTTTCCCTGAACACACACTGATATCTAAACCCTTTAACCTGTGTATAACTCCTTTTTAGTTGCAAACTAAGCATCCATCGAGAACTACAGGGCATTTAGTGGATGTTTGACTTGTCAGATATTTTAAAAATGGGATTCGAGTGACCTGAAGTTTTCTTGAACCAATCAACTATCCCAAAGCTTAAAGGGGTCATATGACGTTGCTAAAAAAGAACATTATTTAGTGTATTTAGTGTAATGCAATGTGTTTATGCAGTTTAAGATAAAAACACATTATTTTCCACATACTGTACATTATTGTTTCTCCTCTATGCCCCGCCTACACTACACAAGCGCTACTCTACACTGCTCAAAACTCGCGTTTGAATCGTCAGTGGCAAATTCTTTAAATATGAAAACGTACTTACAGGCTGTGAGTCAGAAGAGCCAGACTGTCCTTGTAAATTTGGAATTGCCCCACTTTATAGAAACAACCTTTGTGCACAGCCGGCATTGTAGGCTACTCTCAGGAAACAGTCCTCCATAAAATGCACTGCACACATCTGAATATTTGGGTTGAACTGTTCTGGAACAGTGTTGTAAATACAACTTAACGTCTCTAGGTTACGTATGTAACCATAGATCCCCGAGGGAACGAGACGCTGTGTCGAGATCGCTTTGGGAACGCCCTTGCATGACCGCGTTCTGAAGCACGTGTCAAATCCGTCCAATGGAGCAGCGAGACGTCACGAGCAGGGTGACGTAAGCACCAGAAAGCATAAAAGCGCATCCGGCCGGGCGCAAACCAGCTTCGATGAAGTAGCGCCTGCAGGGATGCAGGGAGTATGGCAAAGAGACGCAGGGTCTCATTCCCTCGGGGAACCATGGTTACATACGTAACCTAGAGACATTCCACTTCAGGAACTCGAGCTGCGTCGAGATCGCTTTGGGAACGAGAATACCCCTTGTGCCATACTACCAAGTCCCTGCCTGTGTGTGTATCCTATGAGCACATCACGAAGAGAGAACTTGGGAACCTGGGGTAGATGCCAGGTCTAGGTTGTAAAAGCGGACAAAAGTGTGCGGAGAGGACCAGCCCGCCGCAGCACAAATGTCCTGCAAGGCCACACCCAAGCTGAAAGCCTTGGAGGCCGCCATACTCCTGGTCGAGTGCGCTCTGACCCCCATAGGTGATGGGAGGCCAGAGGACTCGTAGGCTAGTGAGATGGCCTCGACCACCCACCTACCCGTAGTCTGCTTGGTCGCCGGAAATCCCTTCTTTGGCGGACCAAAACAAACAAAAAGCTGATCTGCCTTACGCGACGGGGCAACTCTGTGTGCGTAAGCGTCCAGTGCTCGAACTGGACAGAGCAGATTACGCCTTTCTTGGCCTACTTCCTGGTATGGAGGAGGACAGAATGCCTTAAGTACTATGGGCCCTGGTGAAGAAGTGGGCACCTTAGGGACATACCCGGCCCTCGGGTAAAGGAATGCCCTAACCATGCCTGGAGCGAACTCCAAGCATGAAACAGAGAGTGCCTGAAGATCCCCGATCCTTTTTAGTGAAGAAATAGCGAGGAGAAAGATGGTCTTGAGCCTGAGCAACTTGACCGAACTTCTTCTATAGGTTCAAAGGGGGCATTGCATGAGCCCTCCAGAACCACAGCCAGGTCCCATGAGGGCACCTCGGTGCGCTGTACTGGCCTCAGCCTCAGAGTGCCACGGAGGAAACGAGTGGCAAGTGGGTGTCTTCCCAATGATTGACCACCCAGAAGGGCGTGGTAAGCAGCTAAGGCCGCCACGTATACCTTCAGAGTGGAGGGAGATAACCCTGCGGAGAATCGCTCCTGCAGAAACTCCAGAACTGTACCAATTGGGCAGTTGACTGGGTCCTGCAGTCACTGTCCGCACCATGAAGCGAAAAGTTTCCACTTCAAGGCATACTGTTTCCTAGTGGCGGGAGCTCTGGACTGGAGTACAGTCTCAACAACCTCAGTTGAGAGACCAGATGCTAGGAGCTGTGCCCCCTCAGGGGCCATGCCCACAGCTTCCATAACTCCGCCGATTGATGTAGGAGACCACAGATGTGTTGTCTGTGCGGACAAACGCATGATGCCCCCTTAGGTCTGGAAGGAAGTGTGTCAGAGCTCGAAACACGGCCAGCATTCCCCGGCAGTTGATGTGCCAAAAGAGATGATGGCCTTCCCACAGACCCTAGGCAGAGCGGCAACTCATGACCGCTCCCCAGCCCGTGAGAGAGGCATCCGTCGTTAGCCTTACGCGACGACAAGGAGCCCCTAACGTCAGGCCTTGAACCAGGAACCAACGTTTCTTCCACATGTCTAAGGCACGTAAGCATCGCCGCGTGACCTTGATCATGCAAAGCGGATTCCCCCTCAGGGAAAATCCTTTGGTTCTGAGCCACCACTGCAAGGGTCTCATGTACAGCAGGCCAAAAGGTATCACGTTGGACGCCGCTGCCATCAGGCCCAACAGCCTCAGAAACTGTTTGACAGTGAGTGACTGGCCTTCTCTTACCCTCGTGACTGTCATGAGGATTGACTCGATTCGAGCAGGAGACAGACGTGCCTGCATCGAGGTTGAGTCCCACACCACGCCTAAATAAGTGGTTCTCTGTAGTGGAGAAAGAACACTCTTCTTGGCATTTAGTCTTAACCCCAGCTCTCTCGTATGGGCGAGGACGACATCTCGATGCCGAGCCGCCATCTGCTCCGATTGAGCTAGTGTTAACCAATCATCGATATAATTGAGTATGCGGATGCCCTGGAGTCGCAGTGGAGCCAGAGCAGCATCCACACACTTTGTGAAAGTGTGGGGTGAGAGTAACAGGCCGAAGGGAAGAACTCTATATTGGTATGCTTCGCCCCCGAAAGCAAACCTCAGGAACTTCCAGTGTTGAGGGAGGATGGAAACATGGAAATAAGCGTCTCTGAGATCTATCGTAACAAACCAGTCCTCGGACTGGATCTGAGATACTATCTGCTGATAGTGAGCATCTTGAACCGAAGCCGTTTGATAGCGCGGTTCAGAAGACGGAGATCTAAGATCCGACGCAACCCCTCCATCCTTCTTCGGAACGATGAAGTAACGGCTGTAGAACCCGGACGCTCTCGAGAGAGAGAGGAGGAACACGTTCTATGGCCCCCTTCCTCAAGAGAGTATCTACTTCTTGTTCCATTACCAGAGCCTGCTCGGGGCCCACTAGTGTGGGGATGACCCCGTTGAAACGAGGCAGACGAGAACCGAACTGGATTCTGTAACCTTCTCTACAATCTGCAGGACCCATTTTGAGATATTTGGTAGAAGTTTCCACGCTACCAGAAAATCTACTAAGGGAATCTGGAATGCTGGAATGGAGTATAGTCTCAACAACCTCAGTTGAGAGACCAGATGCTAGGAGTTGCGCCCCCTCAGGGGACAGCTTCCAAGCTTCCATAACTCCGCCGATTGATGTAGGAGACCACCGATGTGTTGTCTGTGCGGACAAACACATGATGCCCCCTTAGGTCTGGAAGGAAGTGTGTCAGAGCTCGAAACACGGCCAGCATTCCCCGGCAGTTGATGTGCCAAAAGAGATGATGGCCTTCCCACAGACCCTAGGCAGAGCGGCAACTCATGACCGCTCCCCAGGCGTACTCTCTCCAGAACTCCCGGGAGCAGAGCGCTCGGGGGAAAAGCGTACAGACAAAGCCTCGGCCACGTCTGCACCATGGCTTCCAGCCCCAGTGGAGCTGGATGCGTGAGGGAGAACCAGAGCGGACAGTGTGTCGTTTCCTGCGACTCAAATAGATCCACTTCCGCCTGGCCAAATTCCCTCCAAATGAGCTCCACCACCTCGGAGTGGAGCCTCCATCCCTCGGTGTAGAGGGTGCGCAAACGCAGTCCCCCGCGCCGATTGATGTAGGAGACAACCGATGTGTTGTCTGTGCGGACAAGCACATGATGCCCCCTTAGGTCTGGAAGGAAGTGTGTCAGAGCTCGATACACGGCCAGCATCTCCAGGCAGTTGATGTGCCAAAAGAGATAATGACCTTCCCACAGACCCTGGGCAGAGTGGCCACTCATGATCACTCCCCAGCCTGTGAGAGAGGCATCCGTCGTTAGCGTTACGCGACGACAAGGAGCCCCTAACATCGGGCCTTGAACCAGGAACCAACGTTTCTTCCACATGTCTAAGGCATGTAAGCATCGCCGCGTGACCTTGATCATGCTAAGCGGATTCCCCCTCGGGGAAAATCCCTTGGTTCTGAGCCACCACTGCAAGGGTCTGGGTACAGCAGGCCAAAAGGTATCACGTTGGATGCTGCTGCCATCAGGCCTAACAGCCTTTGAAACTGTTTGACAGTGAGTGACACTCGTGACTGTCGTGAGGATTGACTCGATTCGAGCAGGAGACAGACGTGCCTGCATCGAGGTTGAGTCCCACACCACGCCTAAATAAGTGGTTCTCTGTAGTGGAGAAAGAACACTCTTCTTGGCGTTTAATCTTAACCCCAGCTCTCTCATATGGGCGAGGA